GACTAGCTGCCTTCCCTCTAGTCTTACACTGCTAAATTAGGGACGGCAAGCGCAGATAGCCCTCGTGTATTATTCTGGTAAAACATCAGTGTAACACCAAATTGAACATAGCCTATCATTTAATAAGATGATATTTACTTTACACAACTTTCGAAAATTATGCTTGAAAATTCTTCACAAAAATGTAGCTTGTGGTATGATACAAGGAGTGGAAAACTTACTTATAAACAATAAATACAACATGTTATCTAAATTGGTAATGTTATTAACAACCTGAGTTTACTCTTTTTACTGATTCATGAAGCTCAAATTTAGTTATAGCATTTATGTATATTATAGTTCTACCATAAATTTGGTTTATATTACGGTATCAACCTTGCAATGTGTGTGTAACTATATATATATGATATGTTTCTTCACATCACTCAATATTTGTTTTTGGAATAACGGTATACGTGTAGGATCTAATATTTGTCTTTCTTTCTTGAAATGTTGAATATCTTTTTTAAAATCTTCATAACAGCTGACGCCATTTTGATGAGTGGAAGCACATGCTGTCACTTCTCCTTTCTTGGGATTCGTCTGGTCAAACCGTAAAGTGACGTATTTATTATCGTGTGCACGTGACGCCAGGCATCTTAAAAGTCGTTTCTTCCACCGTTTTTGAAAGGACAGTGAATTATTTACCTTGGACTTTAGTTCTTAATAAACAACCGAATTCTATGTTAAATAACGTATTGTCTTGATAAACATACACTGACCATCGTGTATACTGTTAAGCCTAATGTCATTGAGTTACGGTTTATTTTTCTCAGTACATAGTTTAGTGCCATAATAGACTATGCGTTTTTTTAATGTAATTTAATTGTATCTTTACATATTATTCTTTTGTGATATTGCCTTTAGATATAATTTGATATGCTATAAAAACTAGTGGTAAACGTTTAAAGATTTCATGTATAATGTATATACCTGTACAGAGAGACAACTAAAAGACCGGGTATTATTAATTTCGAAGTAAAATCGCCCTCTGTTGGAAGTTACTGGTAATCAGACTCTTAGAACAAACTCTGGTTTGAAGAACATATAATTTTCGGGTTAAAGTTGTATGAAGATACGTTTAAAATATAAATTATATTTAAAATTTATTGACGAAATTAAAAATCATTTACGTGTTGAAGTAATTTTTGTCTGCAATGTCATGAAAGCTGGCGGCATTACTTTAGGTAATAAACTCAAAGTTCAATCCAGTTAGTTTTAATATGCGAGTACTATTCTGTTCTTATTGGCGATGAACGGTTTTTGAACTTTTCTGGTTACCATTTTGGTGTTCTCAGATGGGGCAGCGGCAAATCTACGGACTTATAACCCTAAAATCTGGGGTTCGATTCTTCTTGGTGGATGCAGTATTGTGGCTTTGCTCTAAAACAAACAAACAAACAATTTCGGTATTTAAAAGGCTAAAAATTCTTAATTAACATGCGTGTAATTTTTAAGATTGTATTAACTGATAGAACCATGTATTAAATTTCTTAATGAGAGAATTGTAGCTTTTGAAACCACTTAATTACGGTATTCAAAATATACGTATTTCTAGAACTAACCTTAATGAATCTAAGTTTCAAATGGACAGCAACTGCCTGTTGTAGAAATTTACAAATGTAAAGGACGACGTTTCTAAAATCTTCCGCCTTTCGTCGTCAAGTTCTGTAAATTTCTACAATAGGCAGTTGCTGTCCATTTCAAACTTAGATTCATTATGAATGCTCTGCCTAAACAACCTACCAAAGAGGACTAACCTTTCTTGGAATTCTAATCTT